TAAAATTTTAAAAATTTAAATATAATTAAAAAAATTCTTTAAATATAAATCTAAATATAAATTGTCCAAATATAAATAAAGATTAATCAAATATAAATAACTAAAAAGTTAATAATGGGTTGGGTAAAATTAAGTTAAATTTAAATTTTATTAAATTAGATTTAAATTTGAAAGTTGAATTAAATTTAAAATAAAATATATTTAAATAATTTTTAATTTTTCATGGGGATGGAGATCCCCACAGGACCCGCAGGGTGGAAAAAATTCGCGGGGAAAAAATGCGCCTCATCCTCATGGCGGGGATCCTTGGGGGGAGGGGGGGAGGGGAATTGCCATCCCTACATTGGATAGTAAAAGGTTTAATTTGCACTATTTTTTATAGTAGAGGGATGATAGATGGCATTAACCCTTCCAGAGTCGAGCGTAGCTGCATAAGAAACGGTACAAGAGCCAGCCCAGTTAACTGCCCACACTTGCTTTCCTTGGCTGTCATCGAGCCTAAACTGGCCATCTGTTGTAAGTTGAATTTTGGAGCCTTGTTGCACTAGATTTTCACCATTGGCTGACCAAATAATGGTTTTTTCAGGTATTTTGTCAAACCATATGGCTAGCAAGAACATTCCAGCTTTTATCTGTTGGAATCCAACTGCAAAACTCTAGATGGAGATTTTCAGGAATTGTTTTTATCAAATGCTGCAGTTAATGAGGAACCCAATGTTATATTCTGGTATGTTTGAGCTACAACAGAAACTAGCAGTACAAAAAGTAGAATGAGATGGAGAGAATATGGAGAAGCAAAAGCCATGGTCTAACACAGATAGAAGAAAATAGACTTTGAAATTTTGTGCAGAAACTAATGCTCTTGCTACAGGTATATACAGTCTCTTTGTTCTGTTCTATCTAGGCATGAAAGAACTACTTGCGTATTGTGACTAGTGAAGGCAGTTATGCAAATGGTCATCCCCTTTGCCTTACCGTTAAGAGGGTTATTGAAATAAAATGTATTATTGATCAAAATAAAAAAAAAATGTTATTATTTTAGTAAAAAAAATCATTTAAGCATATATACAGTATAATATTAATTAATTAATTAATTAATTACTTAAAAAATATATTATCACTTGAAAATGATCTTGTAGATTAAGTAATAGTTATTATTCTTTTATAAAAGTCTTCTTATATTAATTTAAGATGTGAGATTGAAATTTCACTTTAAATATTAAAAAAAAATATATATTATAGTAACTCTCATTACTACAAGAAATGAGCAGCAGAAGATAACTCCATCAGATGATGCAAATATTTCATACCGAGAGGGACTAAAAAAGTAGTATGCTCTAACCTCTATAGATGCTTTGATCTAGTTGGATGGACAGAAACAGATAATGAGAAGATAGGGATGCACTCACTCCCTCTAGCGGACCAACATGCAGAAAATACAGTTTAAAAGAAGGAAAAATGTGAAGACATAGATACAAATAAAACCTGAAGAAATTACGCAATCAATAAACAAAAACATATTCTCACATGAAAAAGACATATATAATAAGTTGTCTTCTTAAAAGCTGATTTAGACACTTGGTAACAGAAGGTGGAACTCTGAGAATGAAGTGCTCCTCCATGCCTACAAAACAATGTCAAATTGAAATTTGTGAAACTAGAAAGCAAATCAAGTTACACTTACTAGCCTCGACCATGAATCTCAACACTAATGAAAAGCTTAACGCATACAAAAGGAAAATCAAATACCGATCTATATATCTTTCATTCAAATCCAATCCAAGTCATCAACTTCAAGAATAAAAGGCCAAGACACCGAAAATTGTTCTTAAGACAAGCCCCACACCCTTAAGAGCATGTTGCAAGTTGCAACCCTCCATCTAAAACAAGAAGAAACACATATTAAATATGGCTTTAAATCTATTAGCAGAAAAGTTTCTTTCTTTTGAAGCCAATGAATTTACAAACCGTCACTAATGTTGAAAATCTAGTGATTGAAAGCAAACTGAAATTACAATAATCAAAAACTGCTTGTGGGCATATTTAAATTAAGTAAAGCATGCAAATTAAGAAACCCACTTGGCCTAACATCTAACATCACAGCAGCACAACTTAGCAAAAACCCGATTACCCCAGCATCAAATTAACAAATTATACACAAAATTTATAGGCTTTAGCCGAGCCATCCTATTGCCCAGACATTACGTCGAACACATAACAGCAAATCACAATTCAGCAAACAATTCAAATCAAACTTCGAATTAAATTAAAAAACGAAGCTCTTG